TACATTTGAAGAGCGGCTTCCCAACAATTCTCTCATTTCAGAAACGGATACAGAGAAACAAACGACTAATCAGAAGATCTCCGTTCAATATTGGGAGCAAAATCTTTCACCAAAACCTGGGCTACTCGACAACGTCGGTTCCGAAGCCCGTCAATCCTCATGTAATATAGGTTGTCCGTGAGCCGACGCGTCCTTTCCAGGTAACAGTTTGAGTTAAACTCTTATAGTAAAAGTAAGAGAACACTGTTAACCACAGCACAAAAGATTCGCAGGGTTGAAAATGTCGTCTCCCTCATGTCTTGTTTCAGCGTGATCAGGATTATATGTTTTGATGCGTGAGTGCTCAAGGTCAAAGGCAGGAGGCATAGAAATGCTGCTTATGCAACTTTGAAACATGGAGCGTCGTAGATTTTATACACCTAAGGAAGTCCTGCTGCACTCTATGCCAGAAGATTGCTGGTTCTCGTATCTAGGCAAAGTTTACGATTTGACTCCACTGTGTGCTGAGTACAGAGGTAGGTGAAAACATAATGTTTCATTGATTTGTTAAAAGCATTTGATAAAGGTTTGCTTGCAAAAACTGCGAATAAAATCTGTATTATGATATAATGTTAAAATATAAGCTTTGAGGTTATTTTCAAGATGTGGTATTCGAAATGATTGTTACGTTCTGTACAACGATAACGGTTAGCCTGTGTAACGTCAAGTCCATGGACTTTATAAAGCGATTAATATATTTATTAGTATATTATAACTGAATAATAACTACCATTATATAATGAGTAAACGATATTTTTAATCGTTCGATTTTACTTAAGTTTCGTTTCCCAAGCAGCACAGGGGACACTCAGTAGTCCCCTGAGTATCCCCCATGGAGACACTGAAATGTCATTTTTATTAATCGAATTTTCGATTTATTTCGACACACCATTATTATGTGATTTCATATTCGTAAAAAATTGTAGTATTTGGAATAGTATTCAAAATGGGATTCCGGAATTCGCGCAGTACCAATCCCCGAAATAGAATAGAATAGCACACGAACTTTATTCGAATCGTATACTATGCATATTCAATGCATTTAATGTGTACAAGAAATTCCGAGGTCAGTGTCATACATAAAAAAATCCGTCTATCATACGTAATTGCTGAAATTTTTCCATAATTAGAAAGTTAGGACGATTCCATTTATTTCAACATTTAGACAATAAAGGATCCTTTACGGACCATTATTTGAGTCTCTCGGTGCCGACTTTGGCTTACGTCCATGCTAGCATTTTAGCAAACGTGCGCATAGAGTTCGACTCCAGCGGTAGTTTGTTCCAGCCGTTCAGGACTAGAACCGGAAAGGATGTTACCCTGAGTCCACAATTTACCCTATCCTTTGCCAGTTCCAATGCATGCTCCCGGAGTGAGGTGGTTTTGCTCAGCCTCAACGGCCTATGAAAACCACCTCCTATGTCTATGATCCCTTTGAGGATCTTAAACGCCTCTATGAAGTCGTCTAGCAGCCTCGTCTCTCCAATGAGAAGAGAAGCAGCACCTTCAGTATCCTCTCATACGAGAGCTCTCTTATCCCTCCAAACCACCTTGTTAAGTTATAGTACAACAACGTATCAACTTATCAATCGAGTAAATCGGCAATAATTAAAATAATGTAATGAAATGAAAAGCTGTACAAACCAGTGCCTATGATTTTTCTTCATTGCAGTGTTTGCACATATCGTTGAATCGTTAATTGAATTCCAAGACAGTAATTTTAACCACGGCATTCGGCAATAAGAAACAACAATGTTTCAATGGTATGAAATCACAGAATAATATAGAAAAAGGAAAATCCATCATATTAAAAGGATGCCCTTTTATTGCAACATACAGATCTGATCGAAACTGAAGCAACGGGCCCCTGGGTTCATATAGGCAACAGCATTTGCACTAGAGTAATGTTTTTCCAAATTATAATAAACAAGCCTTGGTGAGTGTTCACAGCATTTTCCCGATTTTCCCGATTCGTTTATACTCAGCAGATTGGATGGTTCAAAATATAGCGGATAATACCATTTCATCATTAGTGGTCGACCTAGACGATGATGAATTAAGAGGTACCTAAAGAGAATGGAACAGTTTTTATTTATAAAAAATTAACATTAATAATTAAGCCGTAAAGTTTGTGGACACTAATAGTCGATTGGTCTGCATTTGTTCTTTAGGAATTTTTTGAGTCTCTTCGACATTGAATCTACCAACTTTGTCATGAAGTCATTTTCTATTTTGTGCTCCATTACTTATCGCACTTTTGCCTTCAATGTCCAATGTACAGATAGCACATTGACCTCTCTCTTCAGAACAGAAAACAGATTTCCAATCACATTGAGATACGCGCTATTAGGGGAAGAGGCATGAACTGGACCCTAGAGTCGCGAATCTCTTCTAATGTCTAAAAGCAAATAACAAGTGAACCAGACTTCTTAACTTAATAAATTTGCAACCCTCTCGTGAAACACGGAGCGTTATCTTCAAAGCCTTAAGTAATAATATAGGTGATAAATATAATGAAACACAATTTAATTATAAAGAAAATATTTCAGTGCATCACAATCGGCCAGTACTGTATATTTATATATATTTGATAGAATCATTTATAAAAACCTGTTACCGCATCCGCAGTAAGTGAATTTGATAGTGCTGATTGTCTATGATTCCCGCTCCATTTAAACAAACGGCCGAATCGGGTACGGAAAATTCTTTGTATTCGTGATCTAATACACTCTCTACGTTTGTCTCACCAATGACCGCAAGATATTGAATCTAAATAACGAAGGAAAAGCCAATTGGTATTCCATTGACATTCAACGTAGATTAGAACACAGTAATGCCACTTACAAAGTTTGAGCACATATCCGCAGACTGCAAATCCTACTTTAAACTGCGGAAGTCATCTATGTTGCCCAATGCTGAATATGAGCTCGAAGGATAGTATTCATCCTGTATGAGCACATTTGGTTTAAACCAGTATTTCTTAACCAACAACACTGCCTTTCGTAAATGTACTTCAATGTCAGTGATTCCATGACTAACAGCTTTTATTACGATCTGTTAATTTACTTTGACTTAGCAATTTCACTAAAGCAGCTAACCTCCCTGGTTATTATAGGTGGACAGCTGAAATTTATCTAAATATCATCAATTAGAGTGCTATCCACAATTTTCTGAAATAATATTATATCAGGTAAGTAGTTCACTTGTTAGAACATTGTGTGATCGACTTTATACTTACGATGCTGTTAAGCGGAGGACAGTCGGTGTGCTTTTAGAGCGTAGTTGATCCAGAAATAAATGTTATACACGTTATCTGCAAATAATAAATGAGTGTTATACTGTCACTATTCCTCCCCCATATTGTAAACCACCAACAAAATTATATGTATATATTTTTTAATCATATAATATTTACCTGCGTACCAGTGCAAGACTTATTAGTATGTGAGATCCCTTGTTTCTCAGCCCTAGTAAACTCATATAAATTGCTATCAGTTAGTTGCCACATAGTTTGCTGGCCTGTATGCGATAATAACTATGGAAAAAATAATCTTACTAATCATCTAGTTGTTGGTACTTGTTGACTGTTGCATGCATTTGAACCTCAGGTTGCAATTCAGGACGGGCAATCAACCAACAAATAGATTTTTGTATATAAATATAGTTAGACAAAAAGATGACAGGTTACACAGGGAAGATCGACAGAAGTCAACAAGAACACTCAGCGCACATGCAATTGATGGAGCAGTGATAGCTTCCCACTGTTAACCATTTGAAGGTAATTAAAATTACAGTCACTTGGGAAGATATATGACATAATATACACATAATAAATAAAACATCAATTTACAGAGGTTCATTTGTATGGGTTTCTTTAAGTTTAAAACCGTATCCTTTGGATGCGTTTGATTCATTTGGACAACATGTCGTCTCCTTTTCCACTTTCTCTGCTGAGACATTCCAACTCTGAAATGAATTTCAGGCAGAATACTAAGGAATGCCTGCAGCCTGGATATGAACCTATCACTACGGTTAGTGGGGTGGAGTAGTAATTTATCCTTGATGGCTTTCTACTGATGAATAGATCTGGACTTACAAGTCAGGGTGCAAACAAGGGCTATAGAGAAAAATGAACTAATTAACATTTAGTTAGATAGAGGGGAAAGGATAGTAGTTTGAAGCATTTCAATGGGTTCCCGCTTCCGTAGAGTGGTACATACCTATAGAATATTGCCAATATTTCCCGCTTATCCCTTGATTTACCTTTATAACTCCGGTAACTCGAGTGATCCACCTGTTGGTTGATATACAAAAGATTATATATTACACTGCATGAGTATTTTCACCTTTTGAGTTATATTAACCCATCGATAGACACACAATATAATATTTTGATGGTCAGAATACGCCTACATATACAATAGTTAGGTAAAAACGTCCACAAGAATTGGAAACAATGCACCAAAACTATTAGCGCAAAAGTTATTTTAAAAGATGTTGAAACGTAATCCACTAATTAACATCAGTTCATTTCTAAACGTTTTCATGTAAAACACGAGAAAATGCTTCGGGAAAAATTCAGGACTGTGATTTGATTAGTGTTACAACAATCAAACTCTGATAATCTAATGATTGCCCAGTATTTCTAGGGCATTGCGGATAGAAAACAATAAAGAAACACTTCTTTTACAATCAATGTGCTGGGATTAACTTTCGTAAACCATTCAGCGCAATGCTATTTCCAGGCCCTAAGAATATGAAAAATACAATTTTTGCAAGCCTTTATGATATTCACAGATGAAAGCATGAGATGTAGGGAATAAAAACACTTTCTCCAGTGATGAAATGCTAGAAGTAGACGTTCAGTCTTAATCCATCAGAAAAACAAAAGTTAAACATTTTGGGGTGATTTATGAGGTATAGGGTTTGATTGTGAGAGAATAATAGTCTGGTAAACCAAGTGTGGAAAATGGATATACATCAAAGAAAGAAACGGACTCTAAGTCAAAACGATGTAAGTGCGTCTCTCTGAACGATGGAGATCATGGGTAAAAAAACTCGTCCGTCTTACAGCTCAGGTTGGTATTTATCACGGAGTGTCCACATATCCTGCTATTTTCAACGTTTATATTGCCGAGGGTGATGCTCTGGTAGTTTTCGGTGGGTACTTGTTTCTGAAGTTTGATGTAAATGCAAACGCAAAGGTTAAGTTGAACAAAATCAATCCTTCCACGGTATTTAATATATCGTATACATCGTTGTATCGGATGCAGTAAGCACCAAGTGAAGCACGAAATAGAATTTTGCGGAGTTTTTGCACCATCACTCATTTGGTGACTATCCACTGCTGATTGATCCAAACAAAAATTTGTTTACTGCTCCATTCGTGTACAGGACGTACTGATATTGCAACGTGAATCTGGTTTCTTATGATTTTTTAATGTAATCAACGGAATATCCTTCGATAATTTAGATCTTTTCCTCAAATCTTTAATTCGTGCTATTTTATTTCCAGGAGATATTTTACTTCAACCTCTTTTGGCCTCTGCGGGAACTGACATATCGCATTGGTTTGACAGTCAAACCGGTGACGTGAGACACTATATAGATCCGGAAACACATTGCAACGTTCCGTATACACCACACGGTCGATTTGTGCACATTGCACCACCCTATCCGACAACCGATTGGGCAAATGACTTTGGCACACCTTGGTGGAAGAATCAGAAATATTTTGTGGGCTATCTTACAAAAAAACCGCGCCTTATTCGGATTATAAATACACTTTCATTACAACAGCACGAGATTGAAGTAAGTTTCAACCGACATGTATATTTTTAATAGTTTGCGGATAAATTGGCCTCATCCACTATCAAATATGTGTTTCTGATTTCTTTACTGTAACAACGGTATTTTTTCTAATGTTTAAATCCATGCATTCGTAGGTTATTGACACGTATGTTCTCGACCGTATATACATGTAAATAATAACGTATTTTGTCGTCTTCCAAGTACAGACTACTTGCCAAACAAGTTCACGTTCAATGACCTTTATGATATAGTGAAAGGTTATGTATTACCTGTTTGTGTGTGAAATACTTCAAGGTTACCCAGATTAAAACGAGTCAGTGTTCTTTGGGATTCAAAACCAGATTTTCGTTTCAGGCAAAGCCTAACCCGAAATGAAGTCCAAAAATCAAAATCCTTTGGTGATCAAGTGCCAGTTAACCGGACTTGGTGAAACGTTCAAGGTGCTCAATATCTATCGATTTCCGATCAAAACAATGATCACTGCCCAAAATACGAAGTTGTGTGTGGTTCATTGGCCTCTTCTTGTCGAGCTTTAAATCAAATAATTTGGCCAAATCTCCTTGGGGATTTGCTAGTGTTTCAGTGATCCCCTTTAAAGACCCAGATTTTAGTTTTCTCTACTTCTGTTAGTTCGCTCCATGCGTGAACAGGAAGTGGTTTCTGTTTGCGTAATCGCCCCGAAATGAACTACTTTAGACAGACTAATGGCATGACACTATACAAGATATCTGGCAATAAATGACGAAAGCAATCTGGCTTACTGATAAAGCAAATTTTCATTCTTTTTACTATTCAAAAGATACTCCACATATTTTTTCTTTTCCAATTCTTTATTGCACACAAAGTGGATATGCAAGTTCGAGGAATGAAGTGCTGACCACCCAGGAAACTGCATTCTGACACAAAGAAATGCTAAAAGTTAGGAGACAGTAATGACGTTTTATTCATCGACTGTTTGATTACAGTAAACACCGGTTAACGGCCACTAGCTGAATTCGGAAATATACATACATATCTAATACACCGTTGAAATGGGATCCTTTTTAACAACAAATCAATTAGTTTGGCTGTACTACAAGTCAAGACGAAGAGGAGATTTGAATAATGTGAACTAACAGCTGAAATAAATTGATAGTGCAACTAATAACCAGTAACCTCACATTTGCCTACTGATTGAAGACGTTAGATAAGCCATTAGTTCATTTACAACTTAATCAATAATACCATTTCACTTCCTTTTTATGACTAAATTCAAGCAATATGTCGATGGTAAATCTTGAGGAGCAAAATGGTAACACAAGCAATGTGTATTTCAAAGTATTTTAGTCAAATTCAGAATCGAGTACGCTTAATAAAATTGCCCGAATTTCAATTTTACCTGAGAAGCCAATCTTAATAGTCTGATGTTTCTTTGGAACCTACGCCTTAATCGAAAATTTATCCTCCTCAGTAGTATTTTAATTTAAAAGAGTTCAGTGGTTAATGTTCTTGTCGGTGTGAGGGGGCTGGTGATCTATGATTATCGAACTTTGTGATCTGTGACCGCATGAGGACGATATCATTGTGCATCTTTTCGAAAATTATTATGCATAGCGGTTTAGTCGCTGTCACCTGCGTGCTTTGGATCCTAAAATCCGAGATTCGAGCCCTGCCACCGACTCCAATCTTTGGTGGTAGGCAGCTTGGCTGTCATCTAGTGCAATACGTTTTTTTGTTTTCTTTTCATTTTTACTTCCTTCTATTCAATATACAAAGATACAATTATCAGGAAGGGGGAAGCGACCAATCAAAGGGCTTTCATTCAACACATAATGGGGAAAGTTGGGCAGTAGTGGTGGGATTCGAACTCACGTCCCCGGGGTGATAATTTGGTGACGTTACCACCGGGAAACCACCGCCTAACCACGCCTAACCTAGCGGAGCATTATGTTGTTTGCCACTTGAAGTTCCGGGCTTACGTTATCGGTTTCCATTAATGGACAGTGTCCTAGTGGCTATGGTGTTTATCCCGCCTGTTGTTCATCACACCAAGATGTGTAATAAAAAAATACCTTCAAATTTCCTGTCTCTCTCCTACTGTTCATCCAAATGGGCAGCCAAAAGATATCAGCCAAAACCGACACACGAAAGTGCATGGTCAATGGTTGTACAAACTGATCTGGACTTCTTCATTGTTGTACCATATTAGTAAAACCGAATCCTTGATACTATTCTCACCCTAGTTCCAGACACTCTTTACCTCGATAGCGAATTCCAGTTTTAGATTTCAAAATTTGTACAAACATCTATGGACGTTCAAAGGTTCACACAGCATTGGAAATTTCCTACCTGGAGAATATAAAGTGTATTCCTCATTTTGTAATATCTATAACAACCTCAGATTAATGCTCTTTTTGGAGTTTTCTCATGTTTTGAGTACGTCGCATTCCAAAAAGAATGGTTCTATATGGCACATTCCATACATTTCAAAATTAGATCCGAATAATTTATTATAAGCGTCATGTTCATATCAAATTAACGGCACATACTATTGAACCTCTAGATTACTTTCCACTTAAAGCTTTAAAAGAGCCTGTGTGAATAAACGGTATATATACTTAACATCGGCTTGTGGACAAGCAAGTGCCAACACCATAACAATAATAACAATAACAATAACTGGAGAGGGGGGTTAAGATAAAAAAACATGGGATAAAAGACAGAATTGTTGAAATGGAAAACTACGACTAAATGGGAAAACAATACTTTTGTGTTTCAAAGTACACTTAGAAATTTTCGTATTTTGAGATAGAGACCATAGTGACAATGTGCTAATGCGAGGGAAGTTTTGTTTTTATTTTTACGCGACTGAATGAGTTACAGTAAGAGGAGTGAGCCCTTGCCCAGAGGATACTTTAGAGCGGGGAACTTTAGAAGAGAAACATTCCTGATGGATTTCATTTTTCCAATATTCTTTTGAAGAAGTGCATTTTGTAAGCAGTGGGAAGAGTAGACAGGTGTTGACAAAATATTGAAAATCGGTTTTCGTAGCTCGGGTGAACTGCATTCCATTTCGCCTGTTCGCCGAGCTTGGCAATTTGTTTGCAAACGTTTCATCACCAGCCGAGGTGACATCATCAGTGCTTGTGNCACAAGCACTGATGATGTCACCTCGGCTGGTGATGAAACGTTTGCAAACAAATTGCCAAGCTCGGTGAACAGGCGAAATGGAAGAGTAGACAGGTGCTGCTTTTTCACCGTTTGGTTCTAGTGAAGTCAAAGGAGGACTGAAAGCCAGCCGTATGTAGCACCTCAATACAGACACTCATTATGATTCACTTGCGTTCCTTAATCTTCAGTCTACAACATTGAGAGTAGGGGGCAGGGTACCTGTGCAAATCTCATCACCAAATGGTCCGAGGACTGATCACATATGGTCATCCCTCCACAATCCCTGGAGGTACTCATCCAGACGCTACTTGAAAGCAGCGTTGATCACCTCTTCCACCACAGAATGGAATTTTTGTTATCACTAGTCCTTAACACTAACCAAGGTAGAAAGGATGAGTTAGACAGCCCAGAGTTGTTGAATGGGTCCACTTAGTGACGGAAAACTACGGTTCGGAAATAACGGACGCATTGCTGCGGTTGAAGGCAGCATTGGTGATCGACCAAGATTCAAGTTTTAAACGGTATTGATCAGTAATAAACGTTGTCATTAATTTCGAAACGACCGACTTGAGGTGAATGGCGATAGTTTTGGGGATCGACAGGTTTACCATCATTTGTAACAACTTTGCTCACGGTGTTTTATCAGGGTTCAGCGGATATATTTGGCTGAATCGAAGTACATGTCAGATAATGCGGGACAATTGAGTGGCGAGCATTCGAAGACAACTGAGTGAGTCTCATGCTTCCCAAGGAGAGAGTTACGAATGTTTAGAGATGAGAGGATTTACTTGACCTCCCTGGTGGGAATAAAGGGAAATTAACGGGTGTTAAAATGTGATGCTGGAGGCACTGATCAAAAACACTTGTGTTTACTTGTGCGGTTCGGAAATCAGGAGACCTTAAATGTTTGAGATATAGGAGAAATTAGAGGGTTATTGCAAGGAGACCACATTTCTTGGTTTCCGGACGGAGTGATGTCCAGTTGTTCTACTTTCCAACGCATAAGCCACTCTTCTGCTCTGTGAACAATTAACAAACATTTGTTCTGAGTGTGCATAAAAAGGCTAAAGAACCGGATGAGTTGCATTTGTGGTCCGAAAATAAGCTTCATGGAACCACTCGGAAAATTGTAGTTTATCAAGATTGGTACA